ATCCGGAAGTAACCTAAAAGTATACTTTCAGACGGCAAAAACTAGAAATCAATGTATTTTGTTTTTGCAAAATGTGTGCTCTCGTCTGACAATGGTACAGAAGTGACTACAATCCACACTTCCAGTTGAATAAAATACAACATTAATGTGAACACTCTTCAAACTGTTTTCCAGAAGTGACAATCATACAAATCAAGAAGATACAAATTAGGAAACAATGTATTTTGTTATTGTAAAATGTGTGTTCTCACCCAACTCTCATTTAGAAGTCACTAAAACGTGTACTTCCAGATTAAGAAATTCAACAGTCATGGCTTTTTGTTTAAGCAAAATGGATGCACTCTTCTAACTATCATCTGGAAGTAACTTAAAAGTATATTTCTAGACGACGAAAATTCGAAATCAATGTATTTTGTTTTTATAAAATGTGCGTTCTCGTCTGACAATCGTCCAGAAGTGTTTCTGACGTGGCGTCGGGGGTAATGTGCAATAGTTTTGTCTTTTAAATGTTTGAAGGGTTTCTTGTAGGGAACAAAGATAAAATCAGGGAGCACTTATAAGGTGAAGTCAATTCTGTCAAAAAATTTACATGTTGCCACCGTGTTTTTTTAATTTATCTTACAAAAAGACAATCCCACATGCCCAAAATTCTCTTCACGTCAAGTAAATATGTATTATAGGATAAAATTTATTAAAAATTATAGATGAATTAAAAAATTATTCACAAACAAAATTTTTATTTTATAAACCTTTTATAAAATAAAAATATTGTTTGTGAATAAGGGGGTTAGAATATTATTTATTATTTACTTATTAAAAAAGTAAATATATTATCAATTAAAATAACAAAAAATTAGTATTAGATTACAAAGTTGTAAGAAGTAGCAAAAATACAAATTATATACATATTATTTTTTAACAGTCAATATTAGGAACTTATAATATCGTGTAGGCCTCTACTATTGTCGTATAAGAAATATATAATGATCTTTATAGAATTGTGACCAAACCACTACCATGGAAAATTGTAAAAATTAAAATATCTATGATAAAATCGAGTTTTAATAATTTTATTTACAATTGTGGGATGTTTGTTAGTAAAAAGTTCCCTATAATTGATAAAATAGATGCATATTTAAGACAAATAGTTTGTGCAATTTTTTAGTATTTCGCACAAATTTACTATGGATTAAAATGAATATAAAATTTATTTATTAATTTTTTGTCCTAAAAATATAATGAATCCCTTAATAGATGTGCATATTTTTTCGGATTGTGGCAATTCTAAATGGTGTACTTTGACAGTTGTATCTACCTCAAATAAAAGAAATGAGTAATCAGCTGTTGAATTGACTTCACCTTATAAGTGCACCCTGGCTAAAATGTTGTAAGCCTTTGTAGATGTGACGTGTAAATTTGTAACATAAGTTTAAAAACTAATCTCTGATAATGTTTAAAATTCGAAATGAAAGTGCGAAGCAATGCATTTTTTTAAAGAAATTAGCTTTGGCATTGTTAATTCTACTTGTAATATTTTCATTGCCTACTTTTTGCACGAGTCACAGCCACGGCAATGAAAATCCAAGTTTTAAGTACTCCCGTGAAGCCAATGAGAACTTTGGAAAGAAAGGAAGTGAATATGATGAACTTCACAAACATATTCATCATGATCATAATGGACATGATGATGAACACATTCATTCACACGGTTCAAAACAGCGAAATACGAACAAACAGGGTAAGGCATTTTGGACAATTGCTGTCAAAGCATATACTATTAATAATAATAAATTTTTCAGATATGACTGAAATTTGGTTGTATTCAATGGGGTCGACTTTATTTATTAGTGCAGTTCCGTTTTTGCTTCTATTTATTATTCCACTGGATAACAGTAATGAAATGCGACCACGTCTCAAAGTTCTTTTAGCTTTTGCGTCTGGAGGTCTGTTGGGTGACGCTTTCTTGCATTTAATTCCACACGCTACGAATCCACACCACAGTCATGGACATTCTCATGAAAGTTCCCATGGTCATTCTCATGATATTAGTGAAGCCCATGATCATGACCATAGTAAAGATACTGCAATAGGATTATGGGTTTTAGGAGGTATTATTGCATTTCTTACAGTGGAAAAGCTGGTACGTTTGTTGAAAGGAGACGAGAATTTTAGCCATGGACATAGTCACGGGCCTGTTAAAAATAAATCCCAGGAAGTAAGAAAAAATACAGATAAGTCCAAAGAAAAATCAAACAAAAGTAACACAAAAAAGGAAGATTCCGTTGAAATATCAGGTTATTTAAATCTGGCAGCAGATTTTGCTCACAATTTTACAGATGGTCTTGCAATTGGAGCTTCATTTTTAGCTGGAAACAGTATTGGTTTGGTAACTACAATTACTATTCTGTTGCATGAAGTACCCCATGAAATTGGTGACTTTGCAATACTAATAAAATCGGGATGTTCTCGTCGCAAAGCCATGCTTTTACAGCTAGTGACGGCTCTTGGTGCTCTTAGTGGAAATGCATTAGCATTAATAGGTGTCGGAACGGATGCTGATGCTGCTCCTTGGGTGTTGCCTTTTACAGCTGGAGGTTTTATATATATTGCGACTGTTAGTGTATTACCAGAGTTATTGGAAGAATCAACAAAACTAGGCCAATCAATAAAAGAAATTGCTGCGTTATTGACTGGCGTTCTTCTTATGGTATTCATTGCTAATTTTGAATAAATATAATTCTTAGAGTAAAGTAAATAAAAAATAAAATTAAGTAACTCTCCGATCAGTTTTTAATACTATGATTTGAGATATACCAGGCTTGTCACAAATTCCGATCGGAATATTTTCAAATCCATTCTATTTTGTTTATTCCCAAAAGAATAAACTTCTCCATATTTTGATATTTTATATGGCAACGCTATACACAACATAAAACATGTTTAATTTTCTAAATAAATATCATTTTGACGACAAAAATTTAATTATACCCTACCCATACCCTATATCTATTCGCAAATTTAACAAAAAAAAATTTAAATATTCCTTGAGCAGCAAAACTGAAATATGTGAGCGATAGGGAGTCGATCGAACCTACAGTGCCATATTAATTTTTTCTGAGTACTTGCTTTAAAATGCTGTATCGTAACAAACTTTGACAAATTCGCAAATTTAACAAATAAATTGAAAAAGGTGGTGGTGGTGGTTGTCTTTACATTTCAGAATTACATTCCTGTCTTGTAAACCGAATCCGAGTAAATTTCTCGTTTAAAAACGAATTCTCATAATTTTTCTCGTTTAAAAACCGAGTACATAAATCTAATCGAAAGTAAATCGATTTTATTTTTATTCAAATAAATTATTTTTTTCGTTTTTTAATATAATTATAACTTAATATAAATGCTATGGGCCAAAGTATAACAAGTAGTCCGACTCTCATATATAGGAAATTACTCTCTCTCATCTGCGAGTGCCGCGTGAATCCGACTCTCTTGTGAGAAATTTAAACTTGTCGAAACACTCAAATGTTTAACTTACTTTTTTGACCACTTTTAAGGATTGTACGCGAAATTACGGTTGTGCACAAAAAATCTGTAATTTTTTGAAATAATTTTATCACACTTTTCACACAAAATTTAGTTTAATTTTCCTAAACTAGAAAAAATATTTTTTTCTAATTATTGACATTTCATTTTTGTTGTTGTTGAATTTTAATTTACAGAGTTTCAATTTTTGGTATTGAAAATTCGAACAAATTTAAAATTGTAATTTTTTTATAAAACTCTGTGTTTAGAATGCACCAATACATATACATTTTTGTTACTAACACATATTTAGAGTTAGGTCCCTACAAGCAAGAAGATACGAAAACGATACGAATTCGTATTGCTTAGAAGAAAAAAATTATTGCGGCAATAATCATATTCGTATTGCGGAAGATACCTCCTTCGGTAGAGATTGTGCGGCCAGGGGGATACTTCTAAGCAATACGAAAGCAATACTCCTAGAAGACAAAAAAGAGACATTGCTAGATAAGCAATGGTGAAAATAAGAAGATATCTTCAGATAATCGTCTGGAAGATATATTGGAGATATTCTCCTATTATCTTTAGGAAGAAAAGTATAAGAAATTAAAAAATTGGCAATTTGAAGACACATTTATTAGTGTTAGCAATAAAATATTACAATATGGAAAATATATTAATATAAATATGCCAAATTAACATTTCCCCGGCACAATTTTGTTTTACCCACAGGAAGATTCTTTTAATATTGATTTCTTTTAAGTACTCTGAAAACCAAAACATCATGACTATCCATTTTTTATGTGAAAATAAAGATAAACTTACATTTTTCCAAGCATAAGTTACCATTGTAATGACGTCGTCTTGATTTATCGCGTATTAACTTATTGTAGTAAGATTTATTTAAAAAAATTAGCTTTTTTCTTATTTTGAAAATATTTTGAAGTTTGAAAAAAATATTTTTATTGCTATAATATCATCTATGCGATAACATAACGATATCCTAAACGTATTGCGTAGGATGAAAATCCTCTTACAGAAATAAATACAACAATTTGGCAACAAAAAATACTTTACAAAATCAAAAAAATATTAATTTAAAATTTTTTATTGTTTATTGCCGATTTTACTTTTAAATATTAACATTGCGATATCAAAAAAATATTGCTTGGATGATTTTCTTCCAAATTATAAAAATTGAATATTGCTTTGATATCTTCTATGGACGATATCTTCCAAATGTTTGTAGGGGTACTTTTTCACTAACACATGCTTAGAGTTAGGTACTGCTGCCAAAGAGTCGGACTACTTGTTATACTTTGCTATGGGCATTTTAAACTCTTTTTCATTTAAAATATCATTATTTTTCTGAATTTTACGTTCAAATAAAAATTCGATTTGCAGAACACCAAATTCGGTTTTAAGAGCTCGGTTTTGAAACCGAATCGATTTACAGAACAGAGATTATTATAAAGTTGTTTTTCGAGTTTATATGCACGGTATATGTGAATCTTTATTTGTCGAAAATTTTGGTAATGAATTCTCAGTGGTTGTCGGTGTTATCTATCTCCCAAATGGGCAGATTGATGTTTTAGAGCAGCTTTATAGTAAAGTTTTTGATAGCTTTGTCGTGTGTTTTTGAAAATAAACAAACTTTGATAGTTGACCTTTTTCCGTTTTGAAGAGCTGGCGAGAAGATGTGGTATTGTGGACATTGAAGCAGCGGCAAATAAAAATCACTAAAATAACATAAAAAAATAGAGAAAGTAAGACATTTAATAGAATGAAATTTGAAAGCACCGAAAGTTAGGTTTAAAATAATTAAAAATTAAGCAAAGATAATTAAAATGTTAACAAATTTAAATTAAAATATACTGTTTAAAAGCACAAATAAATAGTTAAAAAGTTAAAACTTAAAACTAAAATGAATAAATAGTTAAAAAGTTAAAACTATCTATCTATCTATCTATCTATCTATCTATCTATCTATCTATCTATCTATCTATCCATCCATCCATCCATCCATCCATCCATCCATCATCTATCTATCTATCTATCTATCTATCTATCTATCTATCTATCTATCTATCTATCTATCTATCTATCTATCTATCTATCTATCTATCTATCTATCTATCTATCTATCTATCTATCTATCTATCTATCTATCTATCTATCTATCTATCTATCTATCTATCTATATAAAAATGAATGTGTGTTTGTTTGTATGTTTGAACGTTATAGACTACTAAACGGCTGAACCGATTTTCTTCAAATTTTCACAGCGTATTCCTCTGTATGTCTGGAATAGGTAAAAAGCTACTTTTTTATTTTGAAATTCGAAGTGTGCGAGGAGCCACGCCCATATTAAGAAAATATTAAATCCGTATATTTGAGATCATATAACAGTTAGAGTCCTCAAATTTTGTCGGAGCAACTTTAGTGTCAATATTATTATTTAGGAAAAAAAGTAGGCGGAATAGCATTAGAGGGCGTGGCACCTCCCATATAAATTAAATACAAAAATTCGTTTATCTTGGAAATTATTACAGTTAGAATCTTAAATTTTTGCACGAATAACTGTATCATCCATTTAAACATTTTGGGTAATAAATTGGCAGACTACCCATGAGGGGAGCGGCACCTCCCATATTAAATAAATACAAAAATTCGTTTATCTGGGAAACTAATGAAACTAAATTCTTCAAATTTTGCACGAAGAACTTAAATATTCATCTGAACATTTTGGAGGGAAAAAAGCGGACTTTCATTTGTGGGGGCATATGAATTAAGTAGAAAAATTCGTATATCTGAAAAATTATTATAACTATCTATAATCATAAAATTTTACTCGAAGAATCTTGACATTCATCTGAACATTTATAGTATAATATTAAATTCTTATAGTATAATATTTAAATCTGAACATTTTGGAGGAAAAAGTGCGGACTTTCATCTGGGGAGCTAGAAGCCCCCACATGAATCAAATAGAAAAATTCTTATATCATATATCTTCAAATTTTACATGAAGAACTTTCACATTCATGTGAACATTTAGAGCATAACGGGCGGACTTTCAATGGGTGGCTTGGCACAACATATATGAGTTAAATACAAAATTTCGTTTATCTTGGAAACTCTTATATTATTAAAATTTTTCATAGATAGATAGAAATTGGTGATAGATAGAAACTGGCGAACTTTCAATAATTTGTTTGACTTCTCTCATATGTAACATATTATAAATCTGGAAAACTATTGTAGTTAGAATCTTCAAAATCGTTAAGTGGGTTGGTTTTTTATTTATACATATTGCTTTAAGTGTAGCAAAGCACACTGGGTATAGCAAGTGATTTATAAATTTTATGTTGCATTATTTCAATTAATTCTTTTTATACCCTTCACCTTCGTGAGAAGGGTATATTGTTGAGATTGTAGGTCTGATAGCGGGGGAGTTGGCATGTTCTTCCTGGATGTTCCAAGCATTAGTGGCTCGTATTGCACTTTCGTTTTTGTTGTTCCTTGCTTTGTTTTGCTTGCATAGATTTTTTTGTTTCCAGTTTATTTTATTTGTTTTTGTTTTGCTTAGGTTTGTTAAGTTTTTCTTGTTGATTGTATGTAGTTTTTTTTAATTCTTGTGGTCTGTGATTTGTTGTTCATTGTTTTGATTTGCCAGCATTATGTTTTGTCTTTCGATGTCTAAATGTGCATGGTTTTGTTTATCAGTCATAAACGTCAAAATGTGGAATGTAAACCTAACAGGGTGATTCAAGATTAATCAAAATCACTACGCAATTAGAGTTACCATGTCGAAATTAAGACAAGGAAGAGAAATTTAAAAAAATTATATTAAACATTATATTCTCTTAAGAAAAAAGGCAACTTTTCAAGGCTACAACAGAAAGTACATTGACCTGAAACTCTCTTGATGTACATTATATTTTTTTTGGTAGAAAATACGTTATTTTTTTTCTTAATAGTATTTGTTTTTACAAAACTTCAGTTACTTTTCTTGTGTGAACTTTTTAAGGAAAAATCAAGATTACGAAAATCATAAGCCTAAATAAACAGACAGTTAACAAATACTTGCTACCGAGATAACATTAGATCACTAAAAAAATAATAAGACAAACTTTAAATTGTATGTTTGTGCGAAAATTCAAATTCAAATTACATATTATATATGGTGCAATTTTAAAGACAGTTTATCTTTCATTACTAAGTTATAGAATAAAAGAAAAACCAGTGAGTATAAAAAAAAAAAAAAAATCTAAAACAAAAACAGAAATAGTTTTGAAGAAAATGAATATTTTATTCAAATAGATTTGTGCCACTGAAATAGAAAGCCAAGCAGCAAGGATAATTCTCCAGAAGCTTGCGAATACTCGGCCATATCATCCCACAGGACAGACACACAATTGGAATTAGAATATTCAAATTTTAAAGAAAAAGAAAGGTAATACAGAAAGATAATACCGTATATGTCTAAGTAGAAAATATATTGGTAGCCCGGTAATTTCTGAATGGAATACGCCACCTAGTTGTGAAAATCCGAGGATAAATTCTATCCACAAGATAAATAAGTAGGGGCAATAACCTTGGTTGAGAACCTAAACCTAAATAGGATCCATACAATTAAAATCCATAATTAGACGTTTATAGCAAAAAGGCATTAGGGCAATACTAGTTAGGGTAGGTTAATTTATTTATGTTTTTATTAAGATATGTTGTTTTTTTTTATTGTTAAGATTTATTATAGATAAATTTGTTGTCATTTAATGTTTGTGAAGGGATTTATCTAAAAGAATAGTGTAGAAAAAGATCGTTAAAGATAAAAAAAAAAAAAAAGGAAAAAGAATCAAGAAGTAGATTATTGTATTCTTGACATATATATATCTTTCAGGGAGCTCCTTTAGGGATATCAAAGAGAGTACTAGCAAAAATTAAAACGGATAAGATTTGAGTACAAGTGAAACTCTTAATAACGTTCTTTTAGTGATCCTTCCGTAGGCCTATTGTCATAATTTTGATTTTTTTGTTATTATAGTGTAGATTAAGTGAATTTGTTTAGTTTAAGTTTCATTTCCTTAGAGATTAAGTTTTATTTCCTTTTTAATAGTTTCATTCAATTTTATCGTTGTTTAACAACTTAATGATGTTAATGAAAGCCACAATATTATAGTTTCTCATCCTATGAAAAACCAATATATATTGTAGGAATTTTTCAGTCTTTTGGTATTTATAAAAATCAGAAGATTATTATATAAAAAAATTCCACATTATTTAATTTTTGATTTACAAGAAAGATTATAAAAAAAAAAAGAGAAAACGAAACGAAATAAGGTTGAAAAGACCGTTCGGTTAATTTATATTATTATTAATTAAAAAGAAAATGATTTTTTTTTATTCTTCACTATAAAAATAATATTATAAACGAAAATTAAAAGAGAAACAAATTACTTAGGATTGACCAATTTTAATGAAATTGATAAAGACCTTTATTTGCTAATAGATAATTTAACACGAAATTTAGTATTAAGCTTTTATTTATGTTTATTGTTTAAATTAGTTAATAAATGTGATTTTTGAAAAGATTAATTGTTACAAAATGTGTCCTTAAAGTTTAATTGTTACAGGTACAGTGGGCCGAAGATGTGTGAGTTGCGTTAAATGGTGAGCGGTTGAATGTGTTAACGAATTTGAGAAGGGGTCATAATTCATGAAAATGACCTAGGTAGGGTGGGCGACGAGGATGGGATTAACATCTAAACCCATTGTTAATATGTTGGTGTTGTAAAATAATGTGTATAGTTAGGGATTTGTATGTTTAGAGTGAAATATTTTTTTTTGTTGTGACGAGCCATAGGTGATGTAGATGCGGGTTGAGTTCCCACGCCGAAGTCTGAGCTGGCAAGAGGCGGCATCGTTGGTCACCGAAGAGAAAGACAAGGTTACGTAACAATAAATGGCGCCCAATATGAAAGTAGTATCAGAAGTAAGACACGTATACCATCGAAACGCGTTGTAGGAAAACAGTTTTATTGAGATATTATGATTTCGTTTTGATTCAAAACCGTCCTAACCATTGAAAAGAAGTTAGTTTGCGTGTTTTGGAATAAAATAAAAATCATACATTCATATTCTTTTTAGGAGAAATTAATTAAACATTCAAAATCGTCCTTAAATTGAATATAATTAAGTTGCGTATTGAATTTGTTAGTTTTTTTTGTTTGATATAAATGTCCTGTTTTGTAAGATACAGTTTGCATGTTATATTGATGACAATATATAAAGGATCAATCAAGACCTGACCTATATTATAATAATGAATAAAGTTAGCATGTTTTGAGTTGATGCTTTTGTTTTAACAGGAAACCGGAAACAAAATTACGAATCAAATATCGTCCTAAAATAAGTAAAATATATGTTTAGTTTGCGTATTTGATTCGTGTTTCTTTTATGTTTTCTGTTTCAAATTATATTAGGAAAATTAAAGGAATATATATTATTTTATAACACCACATCTTCTGTTGGAAATCGTCTTAAAAACATATTCAACCTCGTAATATCAACCACCATGAAAAAAGCTCATCTATCTTCTGGAAAACCACTGTTCCAGTATCTTGTATATGTTATTTGTCAGTTGTGTAATCGTACATTGTAAAATTATTTTTTTTTTTAACTTTTATAGTATATATGTATTGTGAAATCTTATGTTATATGTATTTTGTGTCATTGTTGTAACTTTAATATTACCTGTGTTTTGTGAAATCTTATTTAAGAAAAAAATTTGTAAAATTAGTATAGTGATATATGTTTATTGTGTTGTATTGTTCTTAGTTCTAGCAAGTATAGTATTGTTTAGTGTTATATGTGAACAAATTGATATTTTTTTTAATCATATTTTACCACTATGCCAATTCAAAGAACTCCTCCAAGATCTGAAAACGTAGAAGTAGGAGACATTATAGATATGTCTGAAACCATTAAAAAACCCAATACTCACGAGATGAAGCGTACAGAATCTGTTAAAGTAGTTTCAGGGCAATCATCAGGAGCAATTCCAAAAGTACAGAATCCTCAACCACCAGCCAATTATAGTATGCCACCGCCACCAATTCCACAATTGCAGAGAGGTATCTCTATAGGACATAGTCCAAGAGCATACGCGGGTTTAATCCGCGAACTCATTATTGAAACAAATAAGGAATATAGGGATGAGCTAGAAAATAAATTAGATAGGAGAATACAAAATAGCTTACAGGAAGGTTTTGCTGAAATAATAAAAGAAATGAGGAAGATTAGTTTGAATGAAAAATCTTCTGAAGGCGTAGATTCTCTAATTAGTGAAGACACTGAACCACCAGTAGATTGCATCACAAGAGCTCCGGAGAAGAAGAGAAATGACACTGTTCATCCTCCTCGAAGAAGATTGGATTTTCCTCAAATGTCTGATGATGGTATGAATGTAAGTGAGAATAGCGTGCGCAATGAGGCATTTACCAATATTACAACTAATGTAAACCCTGATTCGCAGAGATATTCCCATAACATGTATGTCAGAGTCGACAAATGGGACATAAGTTTTGACGGCGATACAGATAAACACAATATCGAAGATTTCATCTTCAGAATTGAGTATTTGCAAAAATATCATGCTTGTCCATGGAGGGAATTATGTGGTGAATTTCATAAGTTGTTAAAAGGAGATGCTAAGGATTGGTACTGGTTGTTAGTACAACAGAAAACTATTGAAACTTGGGATGATTTAAAGAAGGCTCTGAGGGTACAGTATGGCTCGAATCGTAGCGAATACGAGTTCATGCGTGATTTTGAAGAGCGTAAGCAGAGGACAGGAGAATCTATAGATGCTTATTTTCTGGTAATGAGAAAACTAAGATCTCGATTGAGAACACCATTACCTGAATATGAAGTAATAAGGATTATCAAGAGGAATATTAGGCAGAATATATCCCAAATAGTTTATCCTATGCAAGTTTTTACAGTAGAACATTTGAGGGACGAGTGCAAGGAAATAGAAAAAAATTACGGAAGAAGAGAGTTAGGAGCTTCGATGCAACCGCAGATAAGGTATGGACAGAGGAGACAGATAGAGGAAATCGTAGAGAATGAACAAGGGGAGATAATAGAAGAAATATACCCTAGAAACAAACCAAAGATTAATAAAGTAGATAACATTATATGCTGGAATTGTCACTTACCTGGTCACGTATTCAAAGAATGTCCATCGATGCAGCGAAATTTGTTTTGTTACAAATGTGGTTTAAATGGGGTAGTGACTACCACATGTCCTAATTGCTCGGAAAACCTTCAGGCGAGCGTGAGGAAACCGGTCGAATCACGCTCGACTCAGACAACAACCGGAGATTCAAAAGTGTAGGTACTCAAACTGAAAATAGGGTATCAAACGAGAATAAAATCACAAGTTTGAAAAGAATGAATGTGAGAACAGATAGTAAATTGAAAGACAATAATAGTAGTAACACCTATGAAGAAAGATTAGAGAACTATATGAAGATAAGGAAAAGGATATTTGAATCAGAACCGGATATAGAAAAGTTGATAAAAGTTAAAAGAACAAGAAATAGGTTTAAAGGCAAGAAGAATTTATTTAAGAATATAACTCAATCCGTCCAAAAATGTTGTGCTATAAATAATAATAATAATAATGATCCGAGAGCATTCACTACAATACAAATAGGAGAAAGTAGATTGGAAGGATTACTAGATAGTGGAGCATCAATTAGCATACTGGGTAAAGACTGTTTAGAATTAGTTGATAAATTAGGTTTGAATGTTAGTCCGATTCTGGCTGAAGTAAGAACAGCAGATGGAAAGGAGTATAATGTAATAGGAAAAACTTCTTTAAATGTTGACTACAAAGGCAAATCCGGAAGGGTAGAATTTTATTTAGTTCCAGATTTGATACAAAAGGTTTATTTAGGGATAAATTTCTGGAGGGAATTTCAAATTGCACCGGAAATTTTTGAATTAGATGCCATTGAACCGGAAGTGTTAGAAAGTAATTTTCCCCTGAATGTTGACAATGTTGATGAACACAAACTCACTTTGGAACAACAAAAGAAATTGGATGAAGTAAAATCTTCATTCCGGACCTATGAGGAACATGGATTAGGGCGAACTCAGATGGAAATCCATACAATAGAATTAATTGAGGGTACGGTACCAATAAAGGACAGATATTATCCTGTTTCACCTGCAGTACAGGAACTCATGTACGCTGAAGTGGATGAAATGTTGAAATTAGGAGTAATCGAAATTAGTCAAAGTCCTTGGAGTAACCGCTCCACATTAGTAAGAAAACCCGGTAAAAACAGACTCTGCTTGGATGCAAGAAAACTCAATGAAAGGACAACCAAAGATGCATACCCAATACAGAATATAGAGGGAATACTGAGCAGGTTAGACGAGACACACTATATTAGTAGCGTAGATTTAAAATTTGCATTCTGGCAGATTGAATTAGAGCAAAAGTCCAGAGCCTACACAGCTTTTACAATACCAGGGCGTCCGTTGTATCAATATGTTGTAATGCCTTTTGGCTTGTGCAACGCTGCGCAAAGGCTGTGTAGACTCATGGACAAAGTGATTCCTCAGGAATTAAAATCCAATGTATTCGTCTATCTGGATGATTTACTAGTCATTTCATCAAATTTTGAAGATCACTTAAAGTTATTAAGTAAAGTAGCTGAATGTCTCAGAAATGCTAACCTTACGATAGGATTAAAAAAGTCTAAGTTTTGTTTCAAGGAGATTAGATACTTAGGATTCATTGTGGGAGGAGGTTGCATGAAAACAGATCCAGTCAAAATCGAAGCCATAAAGAATATACCGTTGCCAAAATCAGTCCGAGAAATAAGGAGTTTTCTAGGCACAGCGGGATGGTATCGCCGTTTCATACAAAACTTTTCAACGTTAACGGCTCCACTAACGAACTTGATTAGGAAAGGGACGAAATTCGAGTTAACAGAAGAGGCTATAGAAAGTTTTAATAAACTCAAGCAAGCCCTAACGACAGCTCCAGTCCTAGCACATCCAAACTTTAGAAAACGATTTTACATTCAATGCGATGCATCGAATTATGGCATAGGCGCGGTATTATTTCAAAAAGATGAAGAGAATAATGAAAGACCGATTTCATTCTTCTCTCAGAAACTTAACCGGGCCCAAATTAACTACAGTGTTACTGAAAAAGAATGCTATGCGGCTGTAATGGCGATCAAAAGATTCCGACAATATGTGGAATTGATGCCTTTCACAGTTATCACAGATCACGCTAGCTTGAAATGGCTCATGTCTTTAAGGGATTTAAGTGGAAGACTGGCGAGATGGGCATTAAAGCTTCAATCTTACGATTTTCAAATAGAGCATAGAAAAGGTTCAGAGAATGTAGTAGCCGAAACTTTGTCGAGGTTAGTGGAAGAGGTTATGTTAGATGGAAATGATATACTAGGTTTTGATACAACAGAATTCGAGTCCGAAGAATATCTGGAATTGATAGAATCCATAAAAGAAAACCAGGCGAAACTACCGGATCTCAAGGTTGTAAACGGTATGATTTATAAAAGAACCAGTTCAAGCATAGAGTTAGATGATTTGGACGAATTTCAATGGAAATTGTGGGTCCCCAGTAGTGTGACAAATGCACTTATAGAAGAAGCTCATAATCCAGTGGATAAAGCCCATGGCGGAATTCATAAAACATTACACCGTCTCCGAACGAAATATTACTGGCCGAATATGATTATTCAAATTAGGAATTATATACAGAAATGCACAATTTGTAAGGAATCTAAATCAGCAAATGTAAATCTAATGCCGGAAATAGGATCTGAAGTAGTCACAGTAAGGCCATTTCAGAAACTTTACATAGATTTTTTAGGAAAATATCCCAGGTCAAAAAAGGTAATGCCTACATCTTTATAGTTGTGGACCATATGACCAAATTTGTTTTTCTAAAAGCGATGAGGGAGGCAACTGCATCTAATGTGATAAAATTTCTCTCGGAAGAAGTTTTTCATCAATTTGGTGTCCCGGAAACTATACACTCCGATAATGGACAACAATTTACGTCCAAAGAGTTCGGGAAAATGGTCGAAACATATAAAATAAACCACATGAGAACAGCTGTATATGCTCCTCAATCGAACGCTTCCGAAAGGGTCAACCAAAGTGTCTTATCAGCGATAAGAGCGTATTTGGAAAAGGACCATAGGGATTGGGATATAAATTTACCTTCAATTGAACTAGCCTTAAGAACATCGGTCCATACAACCACTGGTGTTACTCCATTCTTTGCTTTGTTTGGACACAATATGTTCACTTGTGGCTCTGACTACAAATTGGCAAAACAATTAAGAGCATTAGAAGACAACGAAATCATGATGGATAGGTCAGATAAGATTAGACTTATTAGAGAAAGAATAAAGGAAAACATACATAAAGCATATGAACGAAGTTCTCTGAGATTTAATAGAGGTGCTCGTGTAGTACGATTTGTGCCAGGCCAGGAAGTTTATAAAAGAAACTTTGTCTTGAGTGACTTCAAAAACAACATAAATGCGAAATTCTGCAGGAAGTTCGTGAAATGTAGAATTCGTAGTGTTATTGGAAACAATATGTACGAGTTGGAAAGTCTGTCAGGAACTCCTCTTGGAATTTATCATGCAAAGGACATAAAACAATAGAAAATGATAACAGTGCAATATGGTTTGATTTTGAATATGTAGTTATAATTAGGATAAACAAAACCACTATCTTGACGAAATAGAATAGTTATAAGAGTACATACATAGAAAAATAAGTTAAGATGTGTTTTGTTGGTCTAAGTGTTTAATTATATTTCAAAATTATACCTATATAAAGTGTTGTACAGTGTAGTAAAGGAAAGCAGTACAATATGAGAGATAAGTTTAATAGATTTGACTTGTGTTTGACAAATATAATGTGCAATAATAAGTTAAGTTTATGTATCTTGTAATCTTATATGTGTTAACTGTTTGTCTGAATTTACACAAAGTTGTCCATGATATGTTCTACGAATTTTAGGAAAATAAATTAGGGATAGATGCAATATTGAGGATACGTTAACAGATCTTCTATTATATGTGCAATATTAGTATAAGATTTGTGTCCTGTCTTCAATGTGAAATTTATTCTGAAATTTATACACCTATGTCCTGTCGTACAATGTTTACAATAAAATATGATAGAAACTATTTGATATTTCCGTGAACTTAGATCTATGAGAGTAGAAGTGAAATAGGGAATATACATATCGGACAGAAGAGCAACGCTAGGAAAAAGGGGTGAAGTTACTTAACTAATGCTCTGAATGTTGATTGCCCGGCTAACTAGTGCGGAGTATCCGTGGGTGTAGCCTACGTTGGGCACTCATGATCAAAAGACAAGCAAAATAACTTACCTTAATTTGTAATCTCACACTATCTTTCCTGCACCAAGTCTGGGAAATATAGAGTTTTGTTGAGATTGTAGGTCTGATAGCGGGGGAGTTGGCATGTTCTTCCTGGATGTTCCAAGCATTAGTGGCTCGTATTGCACTTTCGTTTTTGTTGTTCCTTGCTTTGTTTTGCTTGCATAGATTTTTTTGTTTCCAGTTTATTTTATTTGTTTTTGTTTTGCTTAGGTTTGTTAAGTTTTTCTTGTTGATTGTATGTAGTTTTTTTTAATTCTTGTGGTCTGTGATTTGTTGTTCATTGTTTTGATTTGCCAGCATTATGTTTTGTCTTTCGATGTCTAAATGTGCATGGTTTTGTTTATCAGTCATAAACGTCAAAATGTGGAATGTAAACCTAACAGGGTGATTCAAGATTAATCAAAATCACTACGCAATTAGAGTTACCATGTCGAAATTAAGACAAGGAAGAGAAATTTAAAAAAATTATATTAAACATTATATTCTCTTAAGAAAAAAGGCAACTTTTCAAGGCTACAACAGAAAGTACATTGACCTGAAACTCTCTTGATGTACATTATATTTTTTTTGGTAGAAAATACGTTATTTTTTTTCTTAATAGTATTTGTTTTTACAAAACTTCAGTTACTTTTCTTGTGTGAACTTTTTAAGGAAAAATCAAGATTACGAAAATCATAAGCCTAAATAAACAGACAGTTAACAAATACTTGCTACCGAGATAACATTAGATCACTAAAAAAATAATAAGACAAACTTTAAATTGTATGTTTGTGCGAAAATTCAAATTCAAATTACATATTATATATGGTGCAATTTTAAAGACAGTTTATCTTTCATTACTAAGTTATAGAATAAAAGAAAAACCAGTGAGTATAAAAAAAAAAAAAAATCTAAAACAAAAACAGAAATAGTTTTGAAGAAAA